TTTGTCAATTTTTGAACTTTAAATGCTTATAAAAAAAAATTGTGACTAAGGATTTTTAATATTTTTCATCTGCCTTTGAAACAACATATTAGGAGCCTTCTATTAAATTTTCAAGCTTTCGCAACCAACAAATAAAATTTTATTGAAATTTTTAGAAAAAAAACTAAAAAAAAATGGAAAATGAAAATGTCCCTAAACAGTTCAAAATAAATCAAAATATTTTGAAAATGTTATCGTGTATAGAAAATGCAAATATAAACAACCAGTGAAAATTGCATGTATATACGTTCATTTGTTTTAGAGTTACACCAAAAACCAAAATCGATTTTTTGGAAAATCAATTTTGCGTAAAAATTCCCGTTTTTCCTTAATTTTTATGTTGTTTTTCCCGGCGCTTGTGAAAACTACTGGGAAATTTAAATTTTGACCTCCCCAATGCAACAACGATATTCACTTTCCAATCGAACAAGATACTGAAGTCGAAAATCGAAGCATTATTTCGACTACTTATCGTGTACACAGATACAAAAAAAATAAAAAAATAAAAAATAAAAAAATAAAAAATAAAAAAACACACATCATTGTAAAATCAATACATTCATCGTTTCACTCAGAATCTAAAAAGTATTGTGATATCCATGGATTGGTTTTAGCATAAAAAATAAATTTACTCAATTTACCGGGTATTTACATGAAATTATATTTACCGGGTATTTGCCCATCACTAGTTATCACTTATAATTCATTATTGTGCGGCGATACCATGTTATTGCTATTACCTTATCTATTGCTTACTGAATTAATTGATAACACGATATTTGTTTATAACCAAATAATGTAATAATTTAAAGTTGTAATCATGATTGACAGTATACCAAAATATGGAAAATACCAATATTGATAAATGTCAAAATAAAAACTAAAAATTAAAATACAATTTAATTTTAATCATGTTAATAATTGTGCATTCGTTTAGGTATTTTAGGCTTCACGGGGCGCAGGCCGGTTGGAACTATTTTAAAAGTAAGGGGTGTAGTAGGTGTCGAGTTAATGATATATCATATTGTATACGAAAAACGATTCAAAACAGAGACGATCTGTCAGCCTATATTATTAAGTATATTTTATGATATATATTGCGTTTGTAGTCATTTATTTTAATAGTATGAATTCATTTTTTCGAAAACGTTGCATTTATTATATTACTAGAGCTGACCGTCCAATTAAAAATACTAATTCTTATATGATTGATTCAAACTTTGTTCGATTCGTTCAATAACACTAGAACTACAAAACAATCAAGACTACTCTAAAATACCACAAATAAAAAAAAGAAAGAAAAAAACTATAGATAAGCATATTATATACAACATAAAAATAGAACTTAACATGCTAAACATACACAACAATTTCTTAAAAACTACTATTGAATATCTAAACGAATGTTAAGAAATATATACTGATGCCTCCAAAAATGATGAAGGGGTAGGAATATCCATGGAAAAAAAACAATAATCCACAGACATCATTTAAACTACCATCAACATGTTCTATATACATATAGCCGAAGCAATGGGTATAGATCTGGCCATTAAGTTTATAAACAAAAATAAAAAATATATTATTTGAAGCTACTCGTTGACCTCCATCATTAGTGTAAAAAACAAATTTAATCCTAGTGATATAGCAATACAAATCCAAAACAGACTAGAAGAAGCAAAAAATAAGAACAATAACATAATTCTTATGTGGATACCAAACACATATGAATAGACGGCAATGAAAGGGCAGATAAACAAGCCAAACTTGCTACCCGCTCAAATGCGCACAATACATCAACATATCACAGTACATAGAACAGATAAAACAAAACACAACCTCCCTATGGCAAAACATATGGATCCAAACAAACAAACTAAACCAATACAAAAAAACAGTAAAAAGATGGGAAATTTACCCTAAAATTAGTATCACAAACGAAAAAAAAAAACTGAATCGGGCCAGAATTGGACACTCAAGAATTACACACGGATATTTGATGGCAAAATGCCACGCTCACAATCAAACATATACTATCGAAGGTACGAAAAACAAAGAGAGGAACTCAACATAAGCCACCTTATTGGAACAAGTCTATAGGTCCCATCCCAGACAATGAAATACGATAGAATTCTTGCAAACAATAAAAATATTCAACCTGATATAGGTACCTATAAGATAAAACCAAACATTTTAATGTAAATAAAAAACAAAATTGTTTTCGAAGTATGTATTTAATTAATTATTTTTTTTCTTCTATGTTACTACGAATGTAATGCTAATGGTCTTAGTTGTCAAAGCAGAAATTTATAATTTCAAGACCAATAAAAACAAAAAATAAAAAAATAAATAATATTTTTGCCACGCTTGCACCGAAAGTTTAGTTTTCGACGACTGTTGAACAGTTGGAAAGCGACCTTTTTCCGTCCAGTAAAATCTCGGGCGGTAAAATGGAAATCCCCAAAAGTGCTGGGCGCGTATATATCGCGTATCCCCTACACAACCAGGCACTGAAATCTATACCACGGTCCACGATTCTTAGATTTTTGTTTTTTATGTTTTTTATTAATTAAAGTTTTACTGACGTAAGTCATCCTAACTTATTGTTATTGAGTTACATTTTTTTTTTAGCCTTTGGAATATTGATAACAATTAGTAATATAATAAATAAATTAGTATTAAAGATACTATTGGCTAGGTTTTAAATTATTTACAGACAGAAGAAATTTAAATTAAATTAAATTAATAAATACATTTAGTTATAATTATAATAACAGGTCGTGTGGGCGTCCTCGCTTTAGTCGGCGTACATAAGGTGGGTTAGTTTACAAAATTTCGCACTGTGAGCATAATTGATGTGGTCGAAGAAGTTAATTGATAATTTTTTTTATGTACTCAGTTATTGTGGGTAGCTGGAATTCTTTGTGAAGTGCATCATTATGTAAAAAGCATGGAGCATTAGAAATGGTCCTCAACACTTTTGATTGGAAAACTTGTATTTTGTGTATATGGGGTTTTCCACAAGTTCTCCACACAGGGACTGCGTTTAGAAACAATGGTCGTAGGATTTGCTTATAAAGCATAAGAAAACATCTCCAGCTTAATGCAGTTTGCCGGTTGATCAATGGGTATAGAACTTTTAGCCTTTGGTAGCCTTGGTAGTTTGGAGGTGATATGGGGATTCCATATTAGTTTTCTGTTCAAAATTACACCTAGTTATTTGATATTGGGTAACCAAGGAATACTATAACCATACAATTTTAAGTTACCAGGAGTTTTGGGGCGCCGGTTAGTGAAGAGTACCTCTGTACTCTTTTGGGGGTTTAATGTTATTTTCCATTTTTCTCCCCATTTTCGAGAGCTTGAATATTTTGGGTTATTGTTTCGGCGTCTTTAGCACTTGAGTATATAGCACTGTCATCAGCGTATAATGCTACTTCAGTATTGTTCGTTTTAGGGAAGTCCACGAAACGTATAAGTTAAAAAGTATAGGTGAAATTTTCGAACCTTGTGGTACTCCTGCGTTAATTTGTTTTGTTTCCAATATAGTATCGTTATTCGTTGATTCGAACTTTAAAGCAGCAATCGGAGAGGTAGAATTTAATTAGATTGTAAATTGGAGTGCTTAATGTTTTTAATTTATATAAAAGTCCGTCGTGCCAGACCCGATCAAATGCTTGGGCTATGTCTAAGAAGACTGCACCTGTATGTAGTTTTTTTTTTTCAAATCCATAATTTATATGGTCAGTTAGGCGCAGAAGTTTTTGAGTAGTGGAGTGGTTAGATTTAAATTCAAATTGGAAATTCGGAATAGCATTTATTGCATTTAAGTAATTGGTAATCCTTGAGTGAATAATCTTTTCAAATACTTTTGAAACTGAGGACAGAAGGCTTATAGGGTTGGGGATAGAGTTATCTTTACCTGGTTTTTTGAACAAAATTATTGTGGCCAATTTTCATTCTGTAGGAAAGTACCCAATTTTTATTAGGGAATTGAATAATATGGATAAATGTTATTGCTTTTCTGTGTAAATTTTTTAAGATAGTATTAGTGGTTAAATCGTATCCGGGTGATATTCTTTATGGTAATTTTTTGATTATATCTAAAATTTCGTTAGGGCTTGAGTATGGCAAAATATTTTGGGGAAGAATATCAGGCTTGCTTAGTTTTTGTTGAGCAAGATAGTTTGTAGAGTTATAGTGAGCTGTTTAATGTGAAAGCATTTTCAAGAGTATGAGCAAACAGTTCTCATTTATCGGCTTCTGTATTTAGATAAACATCTCCTGATTTCAAAGGGCGGATTTCATTAGTATTCGGTTTGATTAATCTTTTGATTGCAATCCATAAGTTGGAGTCTGCTAGGTGTATTATGGATAAATATTTTTGATAACTGTTAATTCTATGTTCTTTGAGTGAGTTTTTAACCTTTTTTGTTATGTAATTTAATTTTTCTCGATCTTGTGGTAGTCTATACAGTTGCCAGAGTCTCCTCGTTTGATGTTTTGATTTGATTTATTTTAATATTGTATGAGGAAGTTGATTAGGATTATAATTATTTTGTTATCGTGTTTTGTTTGGCTGAGCATGAGCATGTGTCGGCCGCTTGACAAATGATTTCGCGTAAATGTTTTACTGCATTATCCGAGTTGGAAATGTTTAAAATGTTTTTATTAATAATTAGGTTTTGAGTAATATGTTGTTAGAATGTTTCCCGATCTAGTTTGCCGGTGATGAGTTTACGGGTGAAAGTTGAAAATGATAGAGACGAGTCTATTGTGATTATTACAGGTAAATGGTCTGAATCGAGTTCAAATAGCGGTTCTTGGTGAGTGAAAAAACGGATGACTTTTTGTAAAATACATCTAAAATATCAGAATTTCTATTTTGATCATATGGGAAGTAGGTGGGTGTATCTGGAGCACACATAATCGTGGAACTGTTTGATAGAAAATTGAATAATTTACGTCCGTTTGCAGTTAAGGTCACCTACTAACAAAATTCTTTGATAGCTATTTAATATTTTGTCAAAGTCATTAGTGTACATTTGAAAGCTAGGCGATTGGTAAGCGCTAATTATTGTTGTGATTGAGTGATTTATCGAAATAGATATTGCTACTGCTTCAAGAGTTTGCAAAGTAGGTGGATAAGTTTGATGATTTTTAATTTTTGTTTTAATTATTATAGCGACACCACCTTCAGGTTGCACCGATAAACTATCTTTGAGATAAGTGGTGTACCCATTAAATTTAATTTTGTCACTAGCAATTAGATGTGTTTTGCTTACGCACTCGATATCGACATTATGTGCTGATAAGAACGCTGCGAATGTGTTACGATTTTGTTTAATTCCATTGGCATTCCAATTTATGATAACTAGCTTAATATTATTTATATTATTAGACGACATTGATATTATTTAATAGAGCTGATAGATTTTCGATAACTTTTTTTATAATTTGTGAAATGAATGAGCTGATTAATGGCATTAATTACTTTATATGTTCGTTAGTGATATTTGAGTTGTTTATTTCTTCTTTTTGATGATGATTGGTTTTTTTGGCGTAGTTTGGAATGTTGCTTGAGTTTGGAGTTATTTGGATTGGGTCTTGATTTTGGGGATTTATGTGATCGACACTATTTGCTAGGGTTTTGGTATTATTGTTATCATTTAAGCTGCTCGATAGCGTTATGTGCTTAGGAGCGTTCCTGAAAAGTTTGGAGGAATTTTCAATTTTAATTTGCTTATGTATTTTGGAACCTCGGTAATTAGCGGGATGATTTTCATTGCAATTGACGCATATTGGTGGTGTGTTTGTATCTTTGGTGCATTTGGAATAATGGTGGTTTTCTAGAAATTTGAAGCATCTAGGGGGAAGATTACAAAAATGTTTTGTGTGTTGGAAACGTTGGCAGTTTTTACATTGTGGTATGGAGTAGTGGAGGAGGCGATCAAGTGAAAATATATTTTTTCAGATTTGTCTAGTAAGACAGCAACAATTAGCATAGGAGATTTGTGACGGTTTTGGAGACGAGGGACCGATGTGACGTTGAATTTAGCTCGATGAATGCCTTAAAAATTGTTTCTTCGGGAATAGAAGTTGGCATGTTTCTGATGATTACTGATAGATTTCTTTCTTCGGGAAATTGATAGGTGTGATATTTAATTTTAATTTCAGAAAGGTATTTGGTGATTCTACAATAGTCGTCAACAGTTGATAAATTTAATTTTAAAAATACATTTTAATTATTTATGTTAAAATTGTCTACTATCATAGGTGTGATCTTATTTGAATGAAAAAGATAGCACGGGACGGGATAATATAATTGCGGTGATGTTTCGCGCAAGCTAAGTGGAGACATCGGCACCAAATGGGACGAACAAATCGGATTCAAGATTTTAATCATCTATCCAGTATTTATTATCTAAGGTTAGATCTTAAATCGTATATTCATATTATAACCTCCATGCATGACGCGTTAAAATAAATAAAACCAAATCGCTTCTTTAATGAAATATTGTTTTCGTAGTAAAGTCTGGTTGTTAAATAGATTTCTACAATACCTTTGCCGTGATCCATGAACGCAGAGGCGTGACAAAAAATAGTAGTGTGGCTCATGCAAGAAGAAAATTTCACTGTTTGACTGAAATAGCTCACTTCGCTTGCCACACAATATACTATTTTAAATAACAACAAAATACCTTTAATCGTAATTCTTCGTATTAAAATCTAATTTCGTCCAAATGTGAACTTCAAATATGTATAAAAATAAATATGTATTTATCTATTTTAGAATCTGAGTGGAGCGATGGATGTATTGATTTTACAATGATGTGTGTTTTTTTATTAACATTTTTAGATTCTGAGTGAAACGATGAATGTATTGATTTTCCAATGATATGTGTTTATTTTTTTTGTGTCTGTGTACACGATAAGTAGTCGAAATAATGCTTCGATTTTCGACTTCAGTATCTTGTTCGATTGGAAAATGAATATCGCTGGTGCATTGGGGAGGTTAAAATTTAAAATTCCCAGTACTTTTCAAAAGGGCCAAGAAAAAAAAAGAAAAATTAAGGAAAAACGGGAATTTTTACGCAAAATCGATTTTTCAGAAAATTGAATTTGGTTTTTGGTGTAACTTTAAAACAAATGACCGTAGGTACATGCAATTTTCACTGGTTGTTTATATTTGCATCTTCTATACACGATAACATTTTCAAAATATTTTGATTTATTTTGAACAGTTTAGGGACATTTTCATTTTTCTTTTTTTTTAGTTTTTTTTCTAGAAATATCAATAAAATTTTATTTGTTGGTTGCGAAAGCTTGAAAATTTAATAGAAGGCTCCTAATATATTGTTTCAAAGGCAGATGAAAAATATTAAAAATCCTTAGTCACAATTTTTTTTTATAAGCATTTAAAGTTCAAAAATTGACAAAATATGGAAAAATCACGAAAATTAGCAAATTATTTTGAGTTAAGAATTCGTAAAAATTTTTCCTTTTAAATCTAAGATTTGAAAATGTAATACAAGATTACTCATAAGTTTGTCTACCTGTATCAATAAAAAAATCTCTACCGGACAGTTAAATTAAATTTTTATGAGCGTTTGAAATTCAAATTTTTACAACATTGGTTATTCACTCGATTTCTCATGTAGCGATTTCCTTATTTTGTTGTAATTATTCAAAAACGAATAACTGTAGATACATGAAAATTTCACTGAATGTTTATATTAGCATTTCCTATACACCATACGATTTTGAAAATATTTTGACTCTTTTTGAGCTGTTTACGGACATTTTCAGTTTTCAATTTTTTTAGTTTTTTTTCTATGAATATCAATAAAGTTTTATCTGTTGGGCCAAAAAGTGTAAAAATTTAATACAAGGCTCCTGATATATTGTTACAATATAAGTTGAAAAATATTAAAAATACATAGGCACAATTTTTTTTTATAAGCATTTAAACATTGAATTTTGACAGAATTTTTCAAAATCTCGAAAATTATTAATCATCGTAATTAATAAATTATAAAATGTTCAGTTTTTATAGCTAAGGATTGAAAATTTAAAACAAGATTCCACGTAAGTAGTTAATTCTCTTACCGAAAAACCTAAAAAATATACAATCACAGTTTATTTTTATAGTCATTTTATGTTCAAATTTGGACGAAATTACATATTAAAATACCTAGTTATTTTGTTGTGATTATATAATATTATTCGTGGGTACCTACTTGAAACTTCTAAAGTGTACTATTATATATCTATGATAGTATCAGGGTTTGTTATTGATGTTGATGTATAACGTGTTATAAGTACCTAATGGATATTGTGATAATGTGATATGATTAATTTGGAATTTATTATAGGTCAATTTTTTTTTTAATACCATAGATATGTATATAATTTGTCTTAAACCTAGACTGACATACCGTCTTCGCTCAGAATCGTTTTTCTTATATAATGATATTGTATCATTGAATTCAAATTTAAAAGCATCCATTATACAGTGACCCACTTGTAACCTACTGTACAGCAGAGTGACATAAACTTACCCACCTTTTTTTTTTTGTGTCTGTTATCACCTTTTAAGACAGTAAAAGTGCTTAGATTTTCTTCAACAGTATCTATCATTATTTTCTGAAAGGAAAGTGAATCTAGTTGGTACTTTGGGGGGGGGGGGTCAAAAGTAACATTTTTCTAGTAGTATTCAAGAGCAAAAAAACAAAAGAAAAATTAAGGAGAAACAGGAATTTGTACTCAAAATCTGTTTTTGAAAAAATCGATTTTGGTTTTTGGTGCAACTCTTGAACAAATGACCGTAGGTACGTGAAATTTTGACTGAATGTTTATATTAACATTTTATATACACCATAAGGTTTTCCAAATTTGACTTATTTTGAGCTGTTCACGGACATTTTCAGTTTTCAATATTTTTAGTTTTTTTTTCTATAAATATCAATAAAATTGTATTTGTTGGTTAAAAATGCGTGAACATTTAATGCAAGGCTCCTGATATTGTTAAAAACGCAGTTGAGAAATATTAAAAATACATATGCGCAATTTTTTTTATAAGCTTTTAAGTTCAAATTTTGACAAAATTTATCACATGTAAAATTTAATAATAATTTTGTTTTACCCACCTTTTTGTGTCTGTCATCGCCTTTTAGGACAGTAAAAATGCTTAGATTTTCTTCACCAGTCTATTTTCTGATAGGAAAGTTAATCTTTTTGGCACTTGAAAACTTAAATTGAATTGAAAACTAAAATTTCCCAGTAGCTTTCAAAAGCACTGTGAAAAACAAAAGAAAAATTAAAGAAAAACGGGAATTTTCAAGAAAATCTATTGTATTGCATTTTATTATTATCCTTAGCCATAATAATTGAATATCTTACATCAATCCTTTTAAAAAAGCAATAAATTCAAAAATTTAAAATACCTACATAAAAAATATAGTTTAAAACTATTCACATCATTGTAAAATCAATCCATTCATCGCCTTGTTCAGAATCTAAAACACACTATACGAACGTGTTAGCAATATTTTATGATAAATAAATACTAAATACTTACCTTTATTAATTCATATATAAGATAAATTTGATATTTATTTTATATAATTTGAATGTCTAAAAACTTCAGTTGAACAAATATTTTCATATTTTTAAGCTACCTATTTGAACTGTAAGCACAAAAAATGAACAACGAGAATCCTTAATAGACTTTAAAGTTAAAACTATTAAATAGGTATAGTTTTTTATATTATTTTCTCCTATAATAAAATTCTTAAGGTGACACAAACTTAAACTTAAATATTATATTATTATAATAATATTTATTCGTTTTTGAATTCACTATATTTTTATCAAATTAAGCAGACTCCAATTATTCACTTATTGAACCCGGTATAACTTTCAAAATGTTAACTTCAATTTTAAAACAATTTATAAAATAATTAATATATTTCAAAATTTAGAGAAAAATATTTTGTTGCTTAAATATTATTGTAAAATTAATCTGATTGATAAATTAAACCAACAATTATTATGTTTGCTTTGATAGGTTGATGTAATAAATTGAAGAAATATTATATATTAAGTGATTTTTATGTTCGCACTTATTCGTAATCAATGGTCCACTGGGAGAAATGTATTGATTTTTCAGTTAGAAAGTGAAACATAATAATATGTTTTATTATTTTTACAGTTTAACTTAATAAATAATGACTTTTTCAAATTTCAATATTGATAGTTTGGTTGTTACTATTTTGAATAATTTCGATAAACCGTTAATAAACTAATATAATTCTAGAGTCTTTATTTACTGTAAATATTATTGAGCATAGTGAAAAATTTTCAAAAATTATAACATTACTTAATGAAAATACTATATGTAACTATA